AAGAACCTAACTAAGAGCGATGTCCTCCAACCTAATAGCGATGGCCTCCATCCTAATAGCAATGGCCTCCAACCTAATAGCAAAAAGAACCTAACTAATAGCGATGTCCTCCAACCTGATAGCGATGGCCTCCAACCTAATAGCGAGGGCCTCCAACCCAATAGGGCCTCCAACCTAATAGCAAAATGAACCTAACTAATTGCGATGGCCTCCAACCTAATAGCGATGGCCTGCAACCTAATAGCGATGGCCTCCAACCTAATAGCAATGGCCTCCAACCTAATAGCAAAAAGAAACTAACTAATAGCGATGGCCTCCAACCTATAGCAAAAAGAACCTAACTAATAGCGATGGCCTCTTGTAAGGTCCGCAGCTATCGTGTCTACCTGGCAGAAAGTGCTTGGGGTTCTTTGAGACAGTGGATTCCACCAGAGATCAGCGTTGGCAGCACCTTGGCCCAGAGCAGGATGCCCTTTGCTCCTAGTAGCGTTCTTGCTCCTAGTAGTAAGGCCAGGAGCCCCTAGTAGCGTCCTTGCTCCTAGTAGCGATGCCCTTTGTTCCTAGTAGCTTAAGGTTTTGCATGCTTGCGCTTCTGGAGTGTTTGTTGTCAAATCGATCAATTTGAATCTCATCTGAGCCACTTTCCCAAGCTTTTTTCTGGCTCTAGGAAGTGAAAGTAGCTTCCAAAGCCGTAGACACCGAAGACAGTGAATCCATTTGGCCAACCCACGCAAACTTTGAAGCCTTCAATCAAACTCACCACCACCAACAGTTTGCTTGCGAAGCTATGAGGACAGCCAGAACAAAATCTACATTTCGGTTGACGTTTGGTCAACTTCTATCTTGTGTTTGGATCCTGAGTTTGGGTGCTTGCACACTGACAAGCAGAACAAGACACACACGCAAAGTTCACTTCAGTATCAAGACTCTTCAAGATCCTCCTACCTGGAAACGTGCCAGTTTTGCCGCCTCGTTCCTTTTCGGGACTTACCAGGCTGGCAGTTTTGACCTGTTTTGAACTGACTTCAACTTAGAAGCTCATGCTTTTCAAACCTGACAGGTGCAGTCATCATGTTCTCTCCAGAGATGATGAAGCAAGCCGAAAAGATGATGGCGAACATGAAGCCGGAGGAGATCCGAGCATCTCTGTCAGAGCGATCACCGTGACGACTCGTCCACTCGTTGTCTTTGTGGACAAAAGACTTAAAGGGAATCCGGTTTGAAGCTTGAAGAGAACGAGCAAGAGTGGCTGGAAAGATCTCGTTCTGGCAATCAAGGTTTTGCTTTTTTTGCTCAAGAAAACGCGGTCATTCTTTGAAAGCTGCAGTTTCAATGAATACTGACGCACAGCCCATAGCTCTGAAGGACATGCAGAGAATGACCCAAATGGCAGCCAACATGGATCCAGCCATGATGGACGCCTGAATGCAAGCTTTTGTAGAGACCGTGTATATATGACCGTGCGGTAGTCAAGATAAGTGGAAGGGGCGTTCCTTTTCTATAGTATCTATAGCCCAATGTCAGATTTAGTTAGCGAAACGAGGTAGGAACACCTTCAGAATGAGATTGGCATCAATTGCGCCATTTGTTTGAAATGGTTTAGTTAATGACATGTTTAGCTGGTGAAACGAGGTAGGAACACCTCTCGAGAACGAGATGGGTATACATTGCACAAAACAGATACAGGAATGGGGAACGAGATTACACCCCAAAAACGATGTGAGATTGGAGAACGAGGTAAGGAAGGCCCATGTGATAACTCAACGGAAATATTTTCCATCGCTCATATATATAATATATTACTGTATATATATGAGTGTTTGTGTAGGTGTATGTGTGTGTCAAGCACTGTCAAGCATAGACCAAGCCAAGGAGTCAATGATGAAGAAGATGGGCGGGCCCGCCTCTTCAATCGATTCAAGTCAAATGAAGGAGAACATGAAGAGAATAGGCGAAATGAGCCCGGACGAGCTCAAGACGATGCTTGTTTGAGAAGAGCCAAGCTTCACAGACACTGTAGGAGGTTGGAGAGGGGATTTAGACATCTAAACATGTTGACATGCATCACAAGCTAAGGAGCATGAACCAAGCGCAGCAGCAATATGGCGGCCAAAAGCAATACATGTACAATGCTTCCATGGAGTTGAAGAACCAGGGGAATGCAGACATCAAGGCTGACCGAGGAAGTTGCTGACATTTTTGCAAATCATATGTCGTACAACTTGCACATGGCAGTGAACATTCAAGTTCACGCTCGAAGACATATTCATGCTTTCAGTTCCTCAACGGTTTTTGCCCCATCTTCACGGTGCCAGGCAGGAAAGTATGCCGAGGCTCTGAAATCGTACAGCAGAGCAATTGATAATCTCAAGATGTTTGCTGGTGAGGATGCTCGACCAGAATCGAGGAATCACAGTCGTATCAAGTTAAGGATATGTGCAGTTAGAATGCGACAAAAGGCTGTGCAATACTGTGCTAAGACCTTGAGGAGCGTCGTACTTCTTGAGATCTCAGGATGTCTCCCAGCTGAGATTGTCACTACTTCTGAATTCAGCCATGTGCCACTTGAAGCAGAAGGATCCGCAGAAGACCCTGGAGGACTGGACCTTTTTGCTGATTGTACGTTTGATCGCATTGGGGATGGGGGTGCCTCTTTGTTTGTTCCCTCTTTAACAAAATATTTGTTCTGTTTGGGGATGCCTGGTATCGCTTCACCTTCACCCTACGGCAGGTGTGCGAGGAAGCCCTACAAATAAGCCCCAAGAGCGTGAAGGCGGACCTGTCGAGATCCAACGTTCAGCGCGATACACAACCTAATAGCAATGGCCTCCAGACTAATAGCAAAAGGAACCTAATAGCGATGGCCTCCAACTTGATAGCAATGGCCTCCGGACTCCAGACTAATAGCAAAAGGAACCTAATAACGATGGCATCCAACCTTCGCACGAATTATATACATTCCTTAAAGAACTTCAGAGGTAAAACCTTCCTTGATTGGGCTATTTATGAGGCGGAATGAGGCGTGTTAGAAGGCTCAATGAGAGGTGTGTGTTTATGAGGCCCTTTTCCGACGTGGCCTTGCTCGAGTTGATATGGGCCAACTTGCAGAGGGTGTTGCAGACATGAAGTTAGCGTCCAAATTGTCGCCGGAGGACAGGCGTGAAAAGTTGTCAAGACATGTTTTGAAGAGAACTGCTTTTTGAATTTGTAGTAGAGGACGCTACTAGGAGCAAAAAGGGCATCGCTACTAGGAGCAAGGACGCTACTAGGGGCTCCTGGCCTTACTACTAGGAGCAAGGACGCTACTAGGGGCTCCTGGCCTTACTACTAGGAACAAGAAGCTACTAGTCAGTGAGGCCGAAAGGTGATGCCTATGCTTTTAAGTAATTATTCAAGTGCCAGGACAAGACCATTACTGCTGAGCTAGATCGTGTGGAGCAAGACGTTCTTAGCAAAGGTGCTTTGCCTGAGTTGTTGGTAAAATTCATCGCTGATATAATATACATTATAGTATGTTCGGTACTGACTTTGTGATTTGCAAGCAGAGATAATCATTGTGAGGACTTTAGAGCTTTCGAGTGTTGGTGGTTCAGCATTGTGGCCACCACCATGCAGCAATAGATATCGGACATACCCGCCATTATTTCATTAAATTGTTCCCAGCAAGCATGGCGCAATGTCAAATTTTCTTTCATCCAAGCTGCCAAGCTATACCGACTAAGGCGTGTCGGCAGCAGAGATCGCATCAGCCCTAGAGAAGGTCGAGGCATCCTCCAACACGCCTGCTGCAAGCAGTAGTAGTGCACCTGCCGATCTGGACAAGGCACATTCCACTTGAAGAAACTTGAAGCGTCAGCAGAATTCGACGTTTCACTTCCCCATCTCCGTGCCAGAAAATGGAACAGTTCTACTCCAATCCGGACATGGTGACACAAGCGACAGAAGCTATGAAGAAGATGTCACCGGAGGAGCAGATCATTCGGCAGAATGAAGGGAAGCTGATTCCATAATTCACACAGGTCAGGATGGAACAGATGCGTAGCAAAGGTAAGGATCCAAGGTAAGGATCCAAAGGTTGAAAGGGGCCCAAGGAAATCTTCAGCCATTTTCAGGGGGACCATCTGTTGTTCATCCAGGAATCAAATCATGAGCTATCCTGCGTCCATACTTGTGGCGTTCTAGTAGCTAGGAGCGAACTTCTCCCTATTTAATTGAGTAGGCAGTCCCTGTCCCTACTAGTACTACTTAATTAAGTAAGAAGGCAGGGTCACTACGGCGGCTAAACACACATATTTTCAGAGGCACTTTTTGATGTTCGATCAATTTCGATCATTTGCTCAGTCAAGGACCTTGATGCGATGTTGAAGAAGGCCCCGGGCATGCCTGGAGTTGATCCAGAAACTAGCAGGAAGACTCTGGAGGCTAGGATGCAGCTCCGCAGACATGGATGGACATATGATGTCATGCTAGCGGATTCCCATCAATCAGTTTTGAGCAACAAGAGCGCTCAGGCCGTGTCAAAGAACCCGGAAATGCTGAAGTCAGCAATGGACTCCTTCAAGTCCATGCCTGAAGAGGTTGGCGCCGCTTTTTCCCGTTTTCAACGATGATCAAGAATGTATCTGTATGTAAGCACTGTGACCACAAGTATATCCGAATTGCGCATCAGGTCTTCATTAGGTGGCATAGAAGGATATAAAGCACAACTGTGTCCAATTGAGCTCCCCCTACTCTGACAGGAGAGGAAAAAGATGATGGCCGCAGCTCAGGCGCAACCGGCGTTTTTGAACGAGTTTGGTGGGCGTGATGAGTGCTAGACACACCCAGAAACAGACGACCTGCGAACTGTAGATGTTCCAGCTGCATCGGCAACAGAACTTCTTGAGGCCGGGATGAACCCTGGCTCGGCATCATTTGACTCGAGCCAAATGACTGATGCTTGCATGCAGGTCAGGTAGTAGGTGGAGGGCAGGGCTTTCAAGCTTGGCCCAGGGTGAAAAGATTATGAAAGAAAGCAACGCTTTTTGTCCAAGCATTGGCTGGAAGCTACTAGTAGCAAGTGCATCGCTACTAGTAGCAAGGTGCCTTTCTACCAGTAACAAGAAACCACTAATGTGTATTTGTTGTTTGTGGTTTCATGTGGTTTGGAGGGTGTTGGGCTCGCCCCAAGGAAGCGCTGAAAGACCCTGCCATGCTCAAGACCGCTATGGCGGCCGCTGGCGACGGGCCTGAAGCAGATCTCATGAAAAAGATGACTGAGAATCCTGAGATGCTTCTCATTTGCAAGTAGTAACAAGTGCATCGCTACTAGTAACAAGTGCCTTACTAGTAGTAACAAAGAAGCTATAAGAAGTATTTACCCCTGCGGATTGTTCCGCCGGCCCTTTTGGCTGAGGGGAGGGGGGGGGTAGGGGGGGGGGGGGGGGGAAAGTTAGACTTGTCAAAAATCCGCGCCGTGGGTACAATTAGACTAAAAACAAAACTACTACTAGGATAGCATACACCTAAAACACGCCGCGCCCAAGGGCCGGCGGATTTGAGAATCTTTACGGTATGTCATTTGAGAATCTTTACAGGCAGCCTTGAAACATTCATTTGTGAGACGGATTTCTGAGCCACACTGACATCCGCTGCAAAGGATGGATGCCATGACCAACATGATGAAGAACATCCCACCTGAGCAGATGCAGAAGATGATGGAAATGAGCATGAAGATGAAATCTAGTGGTGGCGATCCCAAGGATCCCTCCGAGATGTTGAATGATCCGGAAATGATGAAGGTGCGGTCTGACTTGATGACCCTTCAAGAGTTTTTCTTAGGTCTAAACATCCGTCTCCTGCTTTGCTTGCTTTGCGAGGCAGCTGAAGAGATGATGAAGAACATCTCACCTGAGGCATTGCAGAGCATGGCCAAATCTGCAGGTACGAGAAAGAGGGTGTTGGTGTTGGCGCGTGAAGTGTTCATGTCATCACTCATTGAAGTGCTTTGATATGAGAATTGATCGCCAACTGCCTAGCCAAGTTTGGAGAGCGTTCAAAGGTCTAGAAACGTCTTTTGGTTGTTGAATGATGTGATTGAGACTGATACAATAGTCGAACACCTGTAGCTTTTGACACCTGTTCGGCAGTGTTCAGTTCTTCAGCTTTTGTGTGCAGGCGTTGAAGTTAGCGATTCGCACGCGAAGATGATATCGAAAGTTATGCCATACATGATGAAACTCTTGAAGCTCTGGGGTCACATCAAAAAGATGTTCCAGGCGATGTTCTCTGCAAGGGGCCGGATTGTTCTTGCAGTTGTGATCGTGCTAGTCGCAGTTGGACAGCACTACTTTTTCTCCGGTGACAAGAACTAAACACCTGAGCAGCGTGCAGCTGACTGGAAAAAGACAGTGCGACTGATAGTGTCTTGAGTTACTGTACACGGTCTTACTGAACCAGCAGAAACTCAGCTTGTGCTCTGCGAACGCTGAGAGTGTAGGTAGTATGTCAGTCTGCATTGATTTCAATGCCCTGGAAGGGAGTGGAAGAGTGCAGTTCAATCCTTGAGCTGAGGTAATTTGCTGCTCATGCCAGCGGACACCCCACGGGCCAATTTTTCACACATATTGGTCTACACCAAATCAGAGCAGCCCTCAGTGGGGCACGCTTTGTCTTGATACAGCGCACCAACCGTTGCAAAGATTTGTCTTGAACACCGATTCTGATTCCCATTTTCTCCCCCACGTTGCTAGAAGAGCGATGAGGTATCAAGCATTGAGACTGGATGGGTCGGAGTCAGAGGATTACCAAAAGACTTGCCAGCCCTTGACTTTTCAGCATTCTAGGTCCAATAAACAAGGCCTGAAATGTCATCCCCCCTTTGTTCTTTGAGCACTCGACTGATATAAGGATCTAGCGGAACAGACAACGCCGGCATCGTTGGCTTTTGTGGACTGCAAGTGGGCTCAGGGAGTTGGGGCGTCCTTTGAGACTGGCTTGTTTCGTCGTAAAGGTCCCAAAGTGGATTAAGAGCGATGGCCTCCAACCTAGGAGTGGCCCTATTAGCAAAAGGTACTTATACTGCTCTGCACTAGTGAGTTGGGACTTGTGAAATGACAAACAACCCATCTCATAAATTGGCACAACTCCTAACTCATTTGGGGGTAGTAAAATAACAGCTAGCAACGACCTCCAACCTAAGAGCAACGGCCTGCGACCAGTGATGGCCTGCAACCTAAGGTGGTTTGTTGACCTGATGGGACCGATCTGCCCATCGCAGGACACTGCAGAGAAGGCTGCCAATGTGAGCTTTGCTGATGCGGACCTGGACCTTGGGCAGATCGGCGGATTGCTTCGCTGGGATCCACCCAATGACATCGGCTCCTGGGACTGCAGCTATTTAAGAAAGAACCTGTTGGAGAACCAAAGGAAGCAGCTTCTTTCTTTTCTCCTTTCTTTGCGTGATGAGCACTTGACATGGCTTTCAACATGTGGAAAAATGGTGGAGGTTACAAGTTAAGTTGCCTGAATTAACGCCGGATGCCCTCTAGCCTCTTAGTGCTAAGTCTTCCTAAAAATCTAGAAACCAAATCAGTGCGAGCGTGAGCTATCCGTCCTGCCGGTAGCTTACTTGTAGGTACTAGCTACCTCTCTCATCCCTAGCTACCAACTCCGAAACTAACTTACTTCTAGCGGCCTACCCCCGCCCCCACCGGGCGGCATAAGGATTGAAGTAGTAACAAGTGCATCGCTAGTAGTAACAGGTGCCTTACTAGTAACAATGTTTGCTATTAGAAACAAGTGCCTTACTACTGTAGTAGTATATAACAAGAAGCTACGAAGCAGCAACCAAAGGTCCTGTGACGCACTATTGGATCTACCTCGCGGAAGACATGGCTGGGAGCAATCGGAGCTATGTGGGAAGCACCCGGGTGGGCACCAACCAGATGCTGATTCCGGCTGACACAGAGATTCCTGATATTGCCTACTTGTTGGTCTTTGTGCCTTGGTGGCATGACCTCAGCTTTCTTGGAGAGCGCACTGCATTGATTCATGCAACAGCAGTCATAGGCTAGTCATAGGTTTTCTTTGTCAAGAGCAGGCAAAATGTTTCTGTTTACATAATGTCTGTAAGTTTCCCTAAAAATCTAGGAACCAAATCATTACGTGAGCTATCCTGGGTCCAGTTACTAGAAGCTAACTAGTAGCCAAGGAGCTTACTCCCTTAATTGAATAGGGCCTACTTGCTTAAGTAGGAGCGGGCCAAAAAAAAGACAACGCGCACTTGTGGTTTCCAGGCCAGATCCCTATTGCAAGAGCAGACCACACCTGTGGGCACCTTGGTCTTCGATCGCAGCTCAAGCGTCTCCCAGGTTGGAGCCTTAAATTAAAGACAGCAAGCCTCGTCAATCCAAGTCGATTCATGAACCAATCTTCAATTTGTGAGTCTCATGATGTCTCCAGTTGCTTGATCGTAAATGTGAAAGCTTTCTCCATGGGGTCTTGCCATTTCATTGATGACCTCACTAGCAAACAGCAGGTCAGTTTCACAGATTACGACTTGGATTCTGGAGAGATTGGTGGCAATGTAACTCGGGACTCCAATATTTCAGACAAGCGATCTTTGGAGCTAAGTCAGTATCGTTGATGGCAGCATTTTGTTTTAAAGGAAGACTGCATTTGCGATGGGACAAGCAAGACTAGCAAGGAGAGTCACTGAAAGTCCGACAGCGCAAACTTTAGAGACACGCTCGTCTTCAAATTGACCGTTTTTATTCATTTTGTCAATTTACGAGTTTGAGTGGCCATGCTGCCTTTTGCGTAAACACAAGACGCAGGTACTGGTACTTGTATGGAGAGTCACCAGAGCAGCGAGCTTTTGCTCTGAGGTATCCTGGATTGAACCTTCGGACCTTGAGGAAGTTCAGGCTTGACCGCCTCGAGAGTCCTCACAAGAAATACTTATGATGTTTTGTTTGTCAAACTGGCTGTCACATCATGTTTGATCATGTTTGCACCGATGTGGTTGTTTCTATATACATATATAGATACAATTAAACACATTGCTTTAATTTGCTTCTCATGGAATTGAGTGCAGCCTGCTTGTCCTGAAGTTGCATGGAGAGGCCTACCGAGTGTATCTGGCAGAGGAGCGTTCTTTGGTCACACAGGTTGCAACAGGAAGCACTGAAGCCTTACTTCCCACCGCCACTAAGCTGATTTATTACCTGGGACTTCTTCCGGTTTACTTTCAGGTTGACTTTCAGATGTTGCCCAAGCACGTTGCTCAGTGCACTTTCTTTATGTTGTTGTCCACACATCCGCGTCCAAACGGACATTGACTTCCTCCTGCGCTTCACATGTTACCAGTAGCTTCAAAAAGCTAGTAGTAAGGCCAGGAGCCCCTAGTAGCGTCCTTGCGCCTAGTAGCGATGCCCTTTGTTCCTAGTAGCTTCTTGTCACTCCAAACAAAGGAAACGCCTTTGGGTGACTTCACTCAACTTCTGGTCTACACAAAGTCCCTCTTGGCAGAGCAGAGCCTTGCATGCAGCTTTTTCTTTCTTGAGCATGCATAGTATGTACATGATATGTCGCAGGTGAATTTACAAAGGGTCTCTGCTTAATCACCAACTTAAGGACCACGCCCGCATCTGTTGACCTCTCAGACACCTCTTTCTATGTGGTGCAGGAGCTGATTAGCAGATTGTCGACACTCTTTGAAGCCGGCCGATGACTGTGTGTCCAGAACTGTTGAATATATGTATATATACACATATGTTTGCATTAGCCAGGAAAGCTTTACGGACTTGGATCTAGATGCTAGCGACCTTGGTGGTCCGTTGAGCTGGCTTGAAGCAAGAGACGACCAACAGGTGTGGTGCAGCTTCGTGTAGGCAGTGTAGGCACTGTGGGGAGTTTGGGGCGTTTGGTCATTCTATATAATTAGCTTAACCTACTAGCGATGGCCTCCAACAATTAGCTTAAAACTCCGCTTTGCCTGTCCATTTCTTCTTTTCCCTTGCGCTACTGTACTGCTTCAGGCTGTCAATGTTGCGCACATGGGATCAAATTTGTGAGCAGATTTAGAATCTCCGCAAATGGACTTAGTGTTGCTGCATTGGCAGGTGGTGTTTTTGATCCAACCCAAGAGATGACATCAGACATTTCAGAAAGCACGACCGTCATACGGGAGGAAGGCTGCCAGGATCTGGAAGCTCGAAACTGCTTTTTGGCCACTTGCACCGTGCACCCCAATATTCTTTCCATATTCACAACACAGGTACCAATAGAAATGGCAGACAAATTGGCACATTCCAGGTGACACACTACACCATCTACCTGGGCTACGACTGCTCCGAGAACATCACGACCCTTGGCTTCAAAGTGTCATGCCTCAGTAATGACTCTGAAGGTTATAAGGCTATCAGTGTCAACTTGCGAACCAAGCCTGTTCACACCTCTGCTTATCACGGAGCTGAATCTCCAGATTCTAAGGATAGTAGCAACTGAAGATGTTCTTTTGGCTGCCGCTTCCTCAGATGTTCCGGTTTTCCTTGTCCTCTTCGCATCATTTACAAGGAGTCCTGCGCGAGTGACGATGAAATTCACGGTTCGGTGAAGTTCTGTGAGCTCCCAGCACAGACAAGATCGCAGTAGGTTGAGAAGGTAGGCACAAGCCTTTTTTTTGGACCAATCTTGGTCAACAGACAAGCATTTTTGACATTTTCGATGTGGAGCTGAGGTCATGTCTGGCCGTATGGATATGAGCTTCGGGGGTAGTGCCACGCAGCTCACAGCAGCGGTCAGGAATGCACTGGCGCAACAGCTGCAAGTGGATGTGGCCTCAATCTACGTGACAGTTCAGGCTAGAAGCTGAAACCGCAAATGATCGCTTTAAGTTTTGGCACGAATGGATTATGATTATATTATTGCATTATCGGCCAATCCAGAATTCAATAGTTATCTTTTATCGCACGTTGTAATTACAGTGAGTGGAACCTATCTCAAAATGCTTTAGCTGCTGTGTGTGCAGGTTGCAGTTGGCCGTCGCCTTGCCACCAACTGGATCGTCGAATACCTCGTGGTTGTGAGTGATCTCCAGGCCAAGCAGTTGGCCCTAATTATGAGCTGCAGTGTGTCCAATCGAAGTTCGAAGTGTGTCTTGAGGGATTTCATGTTTGTGGTGTAGGGAAATGTAGGGAATCTAGATTGCAGTGTAGGTGGCCGGTGTGGTGGACGCAGTCGAGGGAATGCGAGCAGACGTCGCAAGCTTTAGGCCTCAGCGTGCCGGGAGGGGATGAGAACAACAGCCACACATTTGACTGTTCAAACTCACATCGAAAGGACTGCTGCACCTGATCTATGGTTCTAAATTCATAGACCTGCTTGACTTATATGATGTTGTTTTTTGGATTCCCGGTACAATATGATACGATTCCAAAACCATTCTGCAAAGTCTATTGAGCAAACTTTGTCAGGAATCTTGTGGTGGGAGAGCTCGTCCAGGCAGGTGTGAGCAATGACCTGGTCCTTGGAATGGTGGCTTGGCTAACCGTGGAAGACGGGCAGAAGCCTCTCAGAACCTTCTGTGTTTTTTCATGGAGTTTGAGTTCACAAGACATCAGAACCAAGAACGCATGTGAGTGAATCGTGCACCTTAGTGATAGGCATCATAGATGTACGCTCTTGAAAAAGGTTGCACGGCTAAGGCCATTTCCAGCATCACCACCGTGGCGGTCCAATATGTAACAAATGAACAGCTGCCAGCATTGCTGCCAGATACCTCCAACGTGACGGAGGCTGGATTTGGGAGAGGGCGCCCCCAGCAGCTTGTAGCTTTATACCGGTTTTTCAATGAGACTCAAGACTCAGTTCCTGATGCTGCTGAGCCCAGGACTCTGATGGTGCTGACACTTCAGATGCACTCCAGTTGCAAGAAGGGGCAAGGTGTATATAAGTATAAATCCGTGGACTTGACTGCACCGGACTTCTGTGAGGGTGAATGAGACCCACTTACGCAGGTTTCACCTGAGAAAAAGCACTGACACCATTTTAGGCGAATCTGCAAGCTTAGCAGCTGTGGAGGTCTCGACTTGCGAAGCTTTCTTGTTACTAGTAGCTTCTAGCATCTTCTAGTTATTAGTAGTATATAATGCCCTTGTTTCTAGTAGCGATGCCCTTGTTAATAGTAGCGATGCCCATGTTACCAGTAGCGATGCCCTAGCTATCAGATGTTCCACCAGGATCATTTACCGAGGTGTTAGTTTCTCCATGTTTCTTCATTACACTCCTCACTCTGTTCCAATTGTCTTGGTGCAGCAAGGTGATCAACACCAGTGGGCTTGTTGACCTGGGATGGTTGAAAGTTCTCTGAACTAGCCTGAACCGGCTTGTCATTTGGCATAGTGCTCTGAGGACAACATATCAACAACCACTGTGACGACCACTTTCGCCACTTGATGGACAAGTAAGTCAACCTTCAAAGGGCACAAAACTGCAGAGATCATTATAAATCGATTTTGTAGGGCTTTTGGTCGTTTTGATCTTCTGAATTCATGGATACACCATGTGACAATCGGGGCCTTCCCCCCTTCCGAGTTTATGCCGCTGGCTTCTTTTGTGTACATTTACATTCATGATACACCACCTACCCTACACAGTACAGCCTGGCCAAGTTACAATATGTTACAAGAAAGATTCGAACTGAAGACTCCATTCCTGACGCTGTTGAGCCCAGGACTCTGATGGTGCTGACACTTCAGATGCACTCCAGTTGCAAGAAGGGGCAAGGTGTAAGTATAAATCCATCGGCGCGACAGCATCCTTATGACTTCGCGCTAAATTGAGCATAGCAACACTGATGTGGGATTGATGCATCGCTTGCAAGCTGCGCCTACAAGATGTTCCACCAGGACATTTACATAGGTTGAGACGGTAGAGAAAGTCCTCCTGGATCCCCTTGGTGTTTTCATCACGATGTGGTTGTTTAAGAGGTGGCCGGTGTGGGATCACAATGCCTTGGAATAAGTTTGCTTGGTGAATACACGGTCCATCACGGTCCAAGGACAACACCTCAACGACGACTGTGACGAATGTTGTTGCTGCTTGGTGGAAGTAGTGCTTCAAGACAGACATAGCCCGCCGGTTCCCCTTCACTATGAACGTTTCTTTTCTTGTTGGCTTAGGTTTTTTGGTTTGTAAAGTTTTTGTTTGGGGTGCGGACGGGGTGGGCCGTGAAAAGCAGGGTAGGTCCTGAGAAGAAACTACTACTGTAAGTATATCGCATCTCCAGGTTCTAGTAGGGACGTGCCGGAACCCTTTGCATTATTGATTTGTTTCCTAGGCTTTAGGGAAGCTTTACACCTTCCTTTTTCACCTTTCTTCTTTTCCTTCCTTTGTTGTTTAAGTCTCGTTTGATTACTTACCTCTGGCAACGAGAAGGCGACGTTACCGTCCGAGTGCCCCCTTGGTCACGAGAACGCTTTCCCATGCGAGAGAGTGGCACCGAGGTTCGGCGGCTTTCCAGTGGAAACTTCAGCGAGGTCTGCTTTGGCCCCGTCTTCGCAATGTTAAGCAGTGGCATTTTTCACTCCACGAAAAGAAGGATCCAATTTACATCAGAACTCCGGCAGGATCAGATTTTCGCCCAAAATGAACGTTGCTGCACCTAAATAAAGACTTACAGCCTCAGGCTGCCACACATCCATCCAACACTCATGAAGTGGCAAGTCCCTCCATGTGATCGCCAGGCGATGTACTTTATCAACATCCTTAATGGCACCAGGTACCGCTTCGTCAGTTGTGGTTCAAGGCTGGGGAAGTCGTTTCGGGCAATTGCTGTGGCAAAGGAAGCCGTTCTGACTCTAACGCAGCAGTCATGGAATCCTGGCTCAGGCGATACATTGGCGAGGTTCCTGTGAGGACCACTAGATATGACGTGCCAGCCTTCCGGCAGCACTCAAGTTTTCACACTATATTTGGTTATTTGGTGGGTTCTTCTGGACACTGGCACCAGGCCAAACAATTGTAGCAAGAGACACGTGACCACCTTCTCCAATGCACAAATAGATTCGGCTTCCCGGATCTTCCCAATGCCATTATTTTCCAGTGAGGTCGAGACGCGCTTCGAGAGCAATGCCACGCACATCCTGATTTATGTGACTTGGTATCAATGCAAGCTGCCAAAACGAAGAAGCTGTCGAGTTTTGTCTTGCCCTCTATGACGATCCATTAGGCTTGTTCATACAGGCTGTATCGTTTTGAATTTGTGAATGAAGCAGATGCCATGGAATGTCGCCGGCCCGAAGCAAAGGCCAGCTCTGAGTATGCAGAGTCCAGCATCGCCTCTGGTTTTGTCCGCGTAGAAGATGCAGAGGTACCTGGTTTCGCAACTAATCCGCTGGCCGATGCCATTCGTGTACCTTTGAATCTAAGTTCATGAGATCATCTGCCAGCGAGAGGCTGGAAATCATAAAACATTTATTTACACGTTGTTTTCATTTATATATGTCATCATCAGTGTAACATCTTTTCATTACCAAACACTCTTATGAGAGACTCTTCCGGGAGAGGTAACGGAGACATAGTGCCCTCAATCTGAGGCTGCCATCAACTGGTCGATTCTCAACACGTCTCATTGTTATATAGATATATGTACAGGCTATAGGTATTTTTTGTGCTACGAAGCTGCTTCTTCTGTTGAGAACTAAAGGAGCAAAAACCTCAAGTTGTGTGAAGACTGCCCAGAACCTTACCAGGCAAGTGTCCTGAACCTTACCTTCACAGATGAGGACTGCTGGAGCAAGTTCGAAACATTCTCGGCCTTCAACTTTCCAGAGACTACTAGCGCTTGATTTGGACCACACATAGATAGATAGTTGTTCATGCCATGTTTGATAATGTTTTCTTTGCTGGAGGACTTGGATGCCAATGAGCTGGGGGGGCACCGTCAACTGGGTGTCAACATCTTAGATTCCATTTTCACTTGCACAGAAAACAGACATGCGTTGTGTTTATGCCTCGAATGTCGAAGCACACTGCACACCTTCCAACTCGCAGACCCATGTGCTGCGAGGCTTCCCCTTGAGGGCCTCGGCGTGTCACGAGCCACTGAGCAGCAGGAATGTTGAAACAACATGAAACAAACATTTCAAGAACTAGTAGTAGCGTCCTTGTTACTAGTAGCTATGGCCTCCAACCTACATAGCTTCTTGCTACTAGTGGCAAACATTGCAAAACACAAAGTGAGAGAGATATGTGAGATTCCCATTGATTTCAAGACTGGTCAAGCTTGGGCATGTCAGAGTGAGGGAGAGCCTGTTGCAGGTTCAGAACTTCTCTGTGTACCTCACCACGGACACCTTCACTGAAAGATCCGCTTTAGGCCAGATCGCCACCCCCACCAAACTTGCCCGTGGCCAAATAGCAGAGCAATAGCACATTGCTTTCGCAAGGCAGCGGCCTTTCCAACAGTTCTTTGGCAGTCCTTGCGGCTGGGCGCCCAAAACGCACCCGCACAGATGTTGAAAAAGCAGGCACATCAGTGAGATGCACAAGGGCTGAATGATGGACATGTCAATGAAAGACTTTTGGCGCTAGGCACAAGCCAAATTGGTTTCGCTGCCAAGGACACACCAAAGCAAAACTACCAGCGTCTTGCAGCCCGGGGGCTTGGTACACGGATGTCAGTCAATGCTAGCGGACATTCGTGTGAACATAGAGATAAAGGTTTGGGTGACTTGAAGCATTTCCAAAGGGTCATTATTCCTGGCGTCTTGCTTGAAGGCACATGGCCCCCACACAAAAAACACAGCTGTGACACATGTCCGATAGGGATTGACTTGATATGTTGTTTGCGCTAAACTTTTGCCCAAATCGATCCGAATTGTATGAAACTCTTTGGGAATAGTAGCCTGGCTAAGGTCTACACCGTATCTTCTCTGGTCGAGCAGACCACACCGTCCAGCCTGTTGCTTTTCGACACGGACTCGTCAGTGCAGGGAACCCCAATTCAGGCTACGCTCGAATTACCATTCAAAAACTCAACAAGGTTTTTTCTTTGCAGAATGGTTTGAGGTTGGACTGGACTCCAGCACACACACACATTGATTGGCTTCCGTGCTTTCGTTCGATTCCACCTGCTCATTTGAGGTCCTCCTTGGATTTCCCAGACTTTGACTTGGATGGGCTCGAAGTGGGTGGCATCCTCTCATGGATTGAACCGGAGCAGAATTCACAAGTGATCTCATATGTCCCTTGGCAAAATCTGGAGAGGAGACAGAACACATTTCCTTTAAAGAGAGCTTTGGAGTCCAGTTTTGGTGTTGTTCTGCTGCTTTCAATGATTCTGATCTCATAGCAATCTGCGGCTGTCAGGGCAGAAGCATCAAACATAAGTTAAAATGTAATCGCTCAATCGGAGCGACATAAGTGAGAGCAGAACAGATTCGAGGTGATCTATTGGGCTTCAGACATTGTGAACCAATCAGGCACCTGGCTTTGCATCGCTACCAATAGCTCCGCGGCATCTTGCCTGGAATTGGTGCTGCGTTGCCGCATGACAGTTTTTGGCAAGGATAGCAGTTAAACTGTGACCCATTAGCAAGGACGCTATTAGGTGGAGGCCATCGCTATTAGGTTGGAGGCCCTTACTACTATTTACAAGAAGCTACTAGGAAGATCATGACAGTGACAGTCGACCCGAGGATGACAGTGACAGTCCCGGGCTTTTGGGACCCTGCCGTGGTCAGCTCTATGCAGAGGCCATTCGGGTATGGAAGTGGATCAGGGTTAGTCAAGGTGCATGATGGTGCATGCAATATGGTCGTAAATGGCTCTATTTAGCACTTGCTACTTGTAGTACAGGTTTGTACATGTCCTTAACAGCGACACAGGCAGGGGCCAGTTCTCAAAGCAACCGGCTGACACATATTTGCATGTGATAAAGAACGCTGGAGCCGACAAAGGTATGCTTTGTTGCAGATGGTAAACTATAACTGGGGACTTATATATAGTTATATATATCGGATAATTTGCATAAGGAAAGTAGAAACAAGATATATGATTAATATATACATGTATATGCGTCTACAGACTGACCGAGGTGCCAGTGGGGACTAGCAACCTCACCGTCCCAGCCGAAACACATCGCGGCACCTACACCCACTTCTTTGTCTACGCAAGGTCAAGCAACTTGGCTATGCATCAGTGACTGTTCAAAAGCAGCACTGCCATGCAATGCCTGCAAAACATAGAGATGTTTTTATTGCTTCCGATTCGCCGGGTTGCACCCTTGTCAGTGTCGTGCTGAGGCTTTGTCGAGCAATCCTCGCCTGCGATCCTGGAGATTTTTGATCTCAATGCCAGTGTGTCGAACTTGCAATTTGATGGTGTCTTGGCAGTACGTCTCTAGACCTCTTTTCTGAAGCTTAATGGGCTGTAGGCCATAACCAGTAGCTTACAAGTTGGCTAAAAAGCAAGGGTTTTGGGTAGGCAGCTCACAAAAGGCTTGGACGCACTCTTGGCTAAGGCTTCAAGGAAGCCGATTTGGAAACTTAACATTTTGTGCTCCATTTTAGATCCTCAGACTCGGTTGACAACTCCAGCTACTCTGTGTGAAAGGTGGATGGGGATCCAACGTCTCGACTTAGGCAAGGATCTAGATCTATATGAGCTGGGTGGTGTGCCTTGGAAAGAATTGGAAGCCATAGTTCAAGACGCTGGTGCGCTAAAGTTGCAAGGCAATGCATAGCGTGCTTGCAACTCTTAAGTTTAAGTGTCAAGTGCAGTGTTGATCTGCCAGATGCCAAGTCATTTTTTCGGGAGCACATGCTTCACATCCAAGTTTTTGTGATGGCAAGAGCCGGTCAACGTTTCCTCACACAAGTAGTAACAAGAAGCTATTAGGAACAAGTGCATCGCTACTAGTAAC